AAAAAAAAAAAAAAAAAACAAGCGACAAACAACACGTTTATACGTTGTTGGTATCTAATTGCAGTCGCTCCTGTGTGCGCGATTGTTTTCTTTTGTTTTTGTTTTTGTCAAAATAAATTGCTGTTTTTTCTACTAAAATTTCCAGGCACTGTTGGCTGCGCTATCTCTCGCTCTTCCACATCCCCGAATCTCGGGCTAATAACCAGAACTCTCTCTTTTTTTAGGCTTCCTCTACGTTCATGTCGATGTCACACAGTAATTTGCGTCAAACAGAATGATACGATTTTAATCGGAGGATTTATCGCGACGTAAATGTTCTCGGTGTAATAATTTTAATTTGTACGCGCAATTTTCTCTGCGGACGTATGTTACACGTGTGTTTCAGCTACACGTAAAATCTCACGTTTTACGTTTATCAATTAATAATGTTAATAATCGTAACGATTAATTGTATCGAATTACTCCGATCTAGATGTTCCGTTGTCTCAAAAAATCCAACCCGCTCGGCTCAAATTCAATACTCGTACCCCGCGTTGCTGCGTAACAGGAGCCTTTTGTCCTCTCGCAATGCGTCGTGCTGGATGAAACTCACAACCCCTGTCCAATTACCCCTGACGATCAAAGAGCTTGTCGGCTATAAAGCACAAAGGCCGTTCCTGACGGACGCGCGCGCGGAATCAGTCGGCCGGGCGATAAACCGCGCCGCCGTCCGTAAGAATCGATGCGCCGTCTCTCTCCTTAATCATCTTCTTGAAGCAACATCTTGCGATAACGTCTTCGGAACGTTAAATTCCTTCGCGAGATCGTTCCTGTTGATTCGCAGGAATGACTTTGACGTCACCGCCTCTTTAGCTCAGTGGTAGAGCACTGGTCTCGTAAACCAGGGGTCGTGAGTTCAATCCTCACAGGAGGCAAGAGGTTTTTTTATATATTTTTTTTTTCTCTTTTTTAATTGTTTCTGTTTTCTCTTCACACGTGCGGTTTTACATCGAGTCGTTTTAAAAGCGCATTGTGCAAACTCTCGCGCGCTCGAGATAACCACGCGATAATTATCTTGAAAGTTTTTGTGCAAAATTGTTTTTTTTTTTTTTTTTTCTTTCGACTTTTCGCATCGCTCGCTCCTACGTGTGCGCGCACTTTAATCGAGACGCGTTCCCGCGCGAAAAACAAAAAACCTTTTGCATCTCGAAAATATGCGAAAGTTTTCTTCGTGCACTCGTAATGTCATTATCCTTCGTGCAAATGTACGCAAAAGTATACATATGGTACACGTGTATTCTCGCGCGTACTTGGCGCGCGAAAAAATGTACACACTGTTACATGCTGCTTCGTCATAGATGTACATCCCGAGAGAAGATTGTCAAGAGAAGTCCTCGACTGTGTGCCGCTCTCTCTGTTTGTTTTCTACTTTCTCTCGCTCGCCCGATGCGTGCGTTGTTCGAGATGTGCACAGTCTGACTGACCCGCTTTTTATACGTATCTCAACAACCCTTATTTTCAGCAACAAGATCGAGTCAGCTATCGAGAGCGCCACGCTGTGCCGTGAAAAGAAGCACGACGCATCGAGTATATATATATAGATATATATATATACATGTATATGTACATATTCACTCACATTCCGTTTTTTTTTTTTTTAGTTTTTTATTTTTTTTATTACATTCCATCAGATTTATATACAGAGCGTAAATAAAAACTTGCTACCGAGGAGAGAATCGTCGACGCGAGTACAGCGGAGTGTGACGTCCTCACGACCGTTTTATGTGTTAAAAAAAAAAAAAAAAACAGAAAAAAAGCGCAAAGAAAACAGAAAAAAAAAAGACACACGCACATAATCTTTTGTATTATCTCCTGATCTTTTTTTTACAAACATGAAAACTAACGAGCACTACCGCAGGGTGAGTTCAGGCGGGAATGAGTGCGCTCGGTCATCACGTAGGGGGGCGGGACTGACGTCTTCATCCGGCGGATTGGACTCGGACGGACCACAGAGCCACGCGGTGGTAACCCAGAAACGGAAGCTTCGCACCCCCGTATGGGCAAGGTTGCGAAACATTCACATTTCCAGCATCCGTTACGACTCTAAGTCTCTGCCCCTCCCCTTTTCATCTCTCCCCCAACACTCGGTATGATCCTCCCTGAATTCTTTTCCGGTTTTTTTCGTTTTTCTTCTTCCCTCATATGTTCCTACGCCACTTCCTTTCTCCTTATCCTTCCCCTCCCCCCCCCCGCCCCGATTCTTCCGCCGTCTGTTCCGTATCCGTGCCGTCGACGCTCTTTGTCGTCCTCTTTTGTCGTCGAACGATAGGTTCGCGTTCTCGCGCGTCTCTCGAGAGATGAGATGCTTTAGTCTCTTTTTTTTTATCTCTCTCTCTCTCTCTCACGTTCTTTCGAAGACGATTTTGTTGGCGATCACGGCGGTGAGCGACGAACTTGAATTCCCGTTTGCGCGCGAAACCGCGCGAGAGATATTTCGAGAAACGACGACTTGAAATATTTACTCGATGCCATACGTGTAAACCGATTAGAGCGCGCGTGCAATTTAATTAATTTTTTTTCTTATAATTCGATACTTCTGATTATCGAAAAGCGCGTGGGCTTCGCGACACTTGCGAGCGATAATAAATTGTAACAGCAGGTGATACAAACGACATGGTTATAAGTAGTTAGAAATATCGACAATCGTATCGTTAGATAAATGTCAAAACGCACGACTGAGATTGAGCATCGACATCGGGTCGGGAAATGTGCTTTGCACAAAGAGTGAAAATTTTGCCGTTGTAAATTAAATTTAGTTATCGGAGAGTAACTCGGGGCCACGCACACAATTATAACAAAGAGGATTGCGCCAAAGCTGCGATTATAATTTACTGTTTCTGGATTAATAATAATATGTACGGGCAATTCCGCGAGTGCATTTCGCGAGGCAATCTCGAAGTCGTCAAAGGAGTTAATTCGTTTTTTTTTTTTCCGTTTGAACAAAAACCTCACGATGCGAATATTTTATCACTCCGTAATAAAAATGTTCTCGTACGTTTATGTTTCTCCGCTATTTCTCGTTTTCACGTGACGTTTTATGTGACATTTAGCATTTTATATATATATATATAACATTTCATTATTTTTGCTCCCTCTCGTCGTAGGCTAGCTTTCTCGATATATATATCGGTCCGACCGCGAAATGTCGATCTGTCAATACACATCAGCGATCCGCAATTTTACACACGCGAATTACACACGATTGACGACTACATATATAGTCGTTGCTGTCGACGACATACCACGTACGTATCAAACGCATTTCGATTTTTCGAATACAAATGTAATTGAGCCTGTGACAGTTCCGGGATTTTCCGGATTTTTGAGCAAACTAATTACAACATTTCAAAAATTGTCTCTTCGATATTTCAATTTTGTATTTTTTTGTTTTTTTTTTAATTGCAATATTTTTTACTCCGAGAAAAGATGCTGTGTCTGTAGTAGTTCTGTCGCTCCTCCGTGAAGTGCCAACCACATCGTGTAGACTGTTAAGTGGAACAAGTCAGCGTTTCGTTATCTTAGTCGATAGTTCTTTCTCTCTCTGTCTCTCTCTCTCTCTTTCTCTCTTTCGCATATTACACATCTTATCTATCTTAGTCTAGTTAATTGTGCACAAGAATTAAAACGCGTAGCTGTGTGCGTCTCGTCATTAATTTAATGAGCTTTTTCATTTAGTTATAGTTGAGAAAGAAAAAATTGAATAAATCACTCCTGTCTGATACATTGCGTTGTGTATAGTCTGACACATACAATCGGCATGTTTCTGACAAATTGAACAGTACGTTTCGTTATACGGAATGTGATTTTCTCTTAGAGAGACCCGGACATCAACCTCTTTACTCGGCCATGTTATAGGATTATTGGCACACGTTACACACAACACAATCTCTCGACGCGCAATTAAACCTTTGCGTTCGGTGCGCACATGCTGACATGTGAAATAACACAGAGACAACATCGCATCACTTTGTGTCAATTGTATTCTTTGTTTTTGTTAACGCGCGTTAAGTTAGTAAATAAATATTTTATGCATATACACAAATTAAATGTAAATTATTGATTTCACATTTTGAGTGTGAACGCAGCGTGTTACGTGAAAAGCATCAACGTCTCACGTCGTGTCGCGAGTTGTGATTCGTTTGTTTTATCTTTCTCTACATCTCTTGCGCGCGCGATCGTCGGTCGGGATAATATAAACCGATGTGAGAGGGACCGAGATCGACTACTCGAGGATTGTACGACACTTTCGGAACACAGCATGGAAACCTTACTCTTGCCTGCCTCTCTCTCTCTCTCTCTCTGTCTCTCTTTCTCTATCTCTCTTTATCTATCTAGCCTACTTCTCTCTTCTAGACTCTTTCTAGGTGTAACCTGCTCAATTTGTCGGACGTATATCTGCCTGCCGTGCAACATGCATCGTTCCCACGATAATCGACTGTTTCCTACTGGTTTCGCACTGTTCTTGCCCGAGAAAGGTGCATGTATACAATACGTACATATATATATATAAAAAAAACGTAGGACACGTCTATCGTCGGGCGGTCCTCGATAACAAGCATCCCCTGTAAATCTCACTGCGTTGTGTGTGTGTGCGCGCGCGCGCGCGCGTGTGTATGTGTGTGTGAATGTGTGGCTCGAAAAACGATGCGAGAAAACGGCTGCCGAGATGGTTGACTTCCGTAAGAGCACCGATCCTTGAGCCAAAGACTGCGGGGTGCAATAAGAAAGAAAGGAATACAAAAGTGTGTGTGAGAGAGGAAACACATTTTCAAGTCACCCTCCTCACGCAGCAGCAGGCATGCAGGGATGTTTGCTTGATGTAGCAAAGACGCTTAGAATGATCGATGTGGTATCTTCTTCTTCATGTGAATATATGTTTTTCCTTTTCGTGTTTTCACGTTATAGAGACGCCGAGCGTGCGGAGTCAGCAGCCACGTGTCGCCCGGGTGTACGCCGTAGGTTCGTTTCCAAAAAAAAAAAAAAAAAAAGAAAAGAAACAAAAAATTCAACATACCGCGAATCACAAAAGCGCATACGAGATCACGCTCTTTTGCACTTCGAGCT